CGCCGACGTGTGGAGCTGTAACTACGGTCAGGGACAAGTACATGTCATTTACGGCCCACTGGGTGAACGTGGGTGCCGCACATGCCGCATCCAGCAACTTGGACAGGTCACGACGCTTTTGCCTCCACGTTTGCACGTCCTTGGTCCAGCAAGCATGTCCGCCTCTACCACCCTCTTTTTCCGCCGTGTCCTCAGCCGCCACCCCCGTGCCAAGTCCCATTACCCGACCGGCATATCACATGTGCAGGGCGCAACGGTGTCACGCTGTGCTGCACCTGGTATGCCTTGGCGAACGTAGTCACACAGGGGAGGAACTGCTGAGTGTAATGAACAGAGAAATCGACAGATGGCTGTCTCCGCGCAAACTAAAAATCGGAACCATGTTGACTGACAACGGAAAGAACATGGTGTCTGCTCTGCGTCAAGGAAGGTTGTGCCATGCGCCATGCATGGCTCACGTGTTCAATCTGGTTGTCAAGCGGTTCCTAAAATCCACCATCCCACTGCAAGACATCCTTAAAATGTCACGTAAACTGTGCATGCATTTTTCAGCCATTCCTACACCGCAAAGAACACCCTCATTGAGCTGCAGCGGCAGAACGGAATTCCACAGCATCGCCTGATCTGCGACGTTGCAACAAGGTGGAATTCAACCCTACACATGTTAGACCGCCTTTACGAGCAGCGAAAGGCCATCATCACCGATTTCCTGATGTTACAAGCGGATAAAGGTACTCCCCTGTGTAACTTAGATGTCAGCCATTGGCAGCTCATGCGTGACACCTGCCGCTTGCTCAGGCCCTTTGAGGAGGCCACGCTATTCACAGATCTCAACGCCACATGACCCCTGTGGGGGCAGGACAGGAAGAAGAGGAGGAGGTAGAGGAGGACATTTGTGCTCAGGAATTATTGAGTGAAATGGGTGGTTTTTCCACTCAGCGGACAGGAGTGGAGGAGCAGGAGCATCTGGTAGAGGAGGAGGAGGAGGAGACAGAGGACCCAGACGCACCGTGGCAGTATGCTGTGGAGATGGAGGCAGGGAGTCCCTCGCATTCCTTGGCACAAATGGCCCATAGCATGCTCGGTTGCTTGCGTAGCGACAGCCGAATAATAACCATCAGACAGAGGGATGACTTTTGGCTGTCCACCTTGTTGGACCCTCGCTACCGGTCCAAAATGGTGGCCTTTTTTCACACCTGCTGAGAGGGAGGCCAAAATTACGTACTATAAAAACCACCTATGTAGTCAGTTGGTCTCTGCCTTTGTGCGCCAACGTCCATCCTCAGACACTGTGGGCCCTGTGCGCTCGCGTTCCGCTGGCATGGCAGCAGGGGAGGGGTGGGGTGGTAGGAGCAGTGGCAGCTCCACCAGCAGCGGCTGCCTCAGTCTGCAGTCGATGATGAGTAGCTTTCTTCACCAGCGCAGTGAGGAAACTACTAACCAGCCGCAGCAGCAGCAGCAGCATCAGGTGGACCTGGAGCAGGAGCTCAAACAACAGGCTTGGGCCTACTTGGACAGCACCCTGCCAACCGAGGTAGACAATCCCCTTGACTACTGGGCAACGAAACTTGACCTTTGGCCCCAACTAGCTGAATTTGCCCTTGAAAGGCTGTCATGCCCGGCCAGTAGCGTGGCATCGGAGCGCGTGTTTAGTGCGGCAGGAGGTATTGTAACTCCGCGGAGGACACGACTGTCCACCCAAAGTGTGGAGAGACTCACGTTTGTGAAAATGAATCAGGCAGGCGTGGATTAGTCTGGATTTCAAACCACCAGTTTCCTGACACAACTGACTAAATCCGCCATGAATCATGCCTCAAACATGTGCCACTTTCAGGTCTCCTCACACTGCTGGTGTGTTGAATTTTTTGACATAGGGTGCTGGCAGATTACGGGCCTCCTATAGCTGCTGCCAGGCCCCTAATCTGCCATAGGCCCCTATATACCACCCAACCTCCTCCTGCTGCTGCCAGGTCCAGAGTCTCTCATGGGTCCCTGTACGGCCTCCCCCATTGCTGCTGTCTCCATCGCCACACTCTGCTGCCATGTGCCACTTTCAGGTCTCTTCACACTGCTGGTGTGTTAAATTTTTTTGACATAGGGTGCAGGCAGATTACGGGCCTCACATAGCTGCTGCCAGGCCCCTAATCTGCCATGGGCCCCCTATATACCGCCTCCTCCTGCTGCTGCCAAGTCCAGAGTCTCTCATGGGTCCCTGTACGGCCTCCCATTGCTGCTGTCTCCATCGCCCACACTCTGCTGCCATGTGCCACTTTCAGGTCTCCTCACACACTGCTGGTGTGTTAAATTTTTTGACATAGGGTGCAGGCAGATTACGGGCCTCACATAGCTGCTGCCAGGCCCCTAATCTGCCATGGGCCCCTATATACCGCCTCCTCATGCTGCTGCCAAGTCCAGAGTCTCTCATGGGTCCCTGTACGGCCTCCCATTGCTGCTGTCTCCATCGCCACACTCTGCTGCCATGTGCCACTTTCAGGTCTCTTCACACTGCTGGTGTGTTAAATTTTTTGACATAGGGTGCAGGCAGATTACGGGCCTCACATAGCTGCTGCCAGGCCCCTAATCTGCCATGGGCCCCTATATACCGCCTCCTCATGCATGCTGCTGCCAAGTCCAGAGTCTCTCATGGGTCCCTGTACGCCTCCCATTGCTGCTGTCTCCATCGCCACACTCTGCTGCCATGTGCCACTTTCAGGTCTCTTCACACTGCTGGTGTGTTTAAATTTTTTGACATAGGGTGCAGGCAGATTACGGGCCTCACATAGCTGCTGCCAGGCCCCTAATCTGCCATGGGCCCCTATATACCGCCTCCTCATGCTGCTGCCAAGTCCAGAGTCTCTCATGGGTCCCTGTACGGCCCTCCCATTGCTGCTGTCTCCATCGCCACACTCTGCTGCCATGTGCCACTTTCAGGTCTCTTCACACTGCTGGTGTGTTAAATTTTTTGACATAGGGTGCAGGCAGATTACGGGCCTCACATAGCTGCTGCCAGGCCCCTAATCTGCCATGGGCCCCTATATACCCGCCTCCTCATGCTGCTGCCAAGTCCAGAGTCTCTCATGGGTCCCTGTACGGCCTCCCATTGCTGCTGTCTCCATCGCCACACTCTGCTGCCATGTGCCACTTTCAGGTCTCTTCACACTGCTGGTGTGTTAAATTTTTTGACATAGGGTGCAGGCAGATTACGGGCCTCACATAGCTGCTGCCAGGCCCCTAATCTGCCATGGGCCCCTATATACCGCCTCCTCATGCTGCTGCCAAGTCCAGAGTCTGTCATGGTCCCTGTACGGCCTCCCATTGCTGCTGTCTCCATCGCCACACTCTGCTGCCATGTGCCACTTTCAGGTCTCTTCACACTGCTGGTGTGTTAAATTTTTTGACATAGGGTGCAGGCAGATTACGGGCCTCACATAGCTGCTGCCAGGCCCCTAATCTGCCATGGGCCCCTATATACCCCGCCTCCTCATGCTGCTGCCAAGTCCAGAGTCTCTCATGGGTCCCTGTACGGCCTCCCATTGCTGCTGTCTCCATCGCCACACTGCTGCCATGTGCCACTTTCAGGTCTCTTCACACTGCTGTGTGTTTAAATTTTTTGACATAGGGTGCAGGCAGATTACGGGCCTCACATAGCTGCTGCCAGGCCCCTAATCTGCCATGGGCCCCTATATATACCGCCGCCTCCTCATCATGCTGCTGCCAAGTCCAGAGTCTCTGTCATGGGTCCCTGTACGGCCTCCCATTGCTGCTGTCTCCATCGCACACTCTGCTGCCATGTGCCACTTTCAGGTCTCTTCACACTGCTGTGTGTTAAATTTTTTGACATAGGGTGCAGGCAGATTACGGGCCTCACATAGCTGCTGCCAGGCCCCTAATCTGCCATGGGCCCCTATATACCCCGCCTCCTCATGCTGCTGCTGCCAAGTCCAGAGTCTCTCATGGGTCCCTGTACGGCCTCCCATTGCTGCTGTCTCCATCGCCACACTCTGCTGCCATGTGCCACTTTCAGGTCTCTTCACACTGCTGGTGTGTTAAATTTTTTGACATAGGGTGCAGGCAGATTACGGGCCTCACATAGCTGCTGCCAGGCCCCTAATCTGCCATGGGCCCCTATATATACCGCCTCCTCATGCTGCTGCCAAGTCCAGAGTCTCTCATGGGTCCCTGTACGGCCTCCCATTGCTGCTGTCTCCATCGCCACACTCTGCTGCCATGTGCCACTTTCAGGTCTCTTCACACTGCTGGTGTGTTAAATTTTTTGACATAGGGTGCAGGCAGATTACGGGCCTCACATAGCTGCTGCCAGGCCCCTAATCTGCCATGGGCCCCTATATATACCGCCGCCCGCCTCCTCATGCTGCTGCCAAGTCCAGAGTCTCTCATGGGTCCCTGTACGGCCTCCCATTGCTGCTGTCTCCATCGCCACACTCTGCTGCCATGTGCCACTTTCAGGTCTCTTCACACTGCTGGTGTGTTAAATTTTTTTGACATAGGGTGCAGGCAGATTACGGGCCTCACATAGCTGCTGCCAGGCCCCTAATCTGCCATGGGCCCCTATATATACCGCCTCCTCATGCTGCTGCCAAGTCCAGAGTCTCTCTCATGGGTCCCTGTACGGCCTCCCATTGCTGCTGTCTCCATCGCACACACTGCTGCCATGTGCCACTTTCAGGTCTCTTCACACTGCTGGTGTTAAATTTTTTGACATAGGGTGCAGGCAGATTACGGGCCTCACATAGCTGCTGCCAGGCCCCTAATCTGCCATGGGCCCCTATATACCCGCCTCCTCATGCTGCTGCCAAGTCCAGAGTCTCTGTCATGGGTCCCTGTACGGCCTCCCATTGCTGCTGTCTCCATCGCCACACTCTGCTGCCATGTGCCACTTTCAGGTCTCTTCACACTGCTGGTGTGTTAAATTTTTTGACATAGGGTGCAGGCAGATTACGGGCCTCACATAGCTGCTGCCAGGCCCCTAATCTGCCATGGGCCCCTATATACCGCCTCCTCATGCTGCTGCCAAGTCCAGAGTCTGTCATGGGTCCCTGTACGGCCTCCCATTGCTGCTGTCTCCATCGCCACACACTCTGCTGCCATGTGCCACTTTCAGGTCTCTCACACACTGCTGTGTGTGTTAAATTTTTTGACATAGGGTGCAGGCAGATTACGGGCCTCACATAGCTGCTGCCAGGCCAGGCCCCTAATCTGCCATGGGCCCCTATATACCGCCTCCTCATGCTGCTGCCAAGTCCAGAGTCTCTGTCATGGGTCCCTGTACGGCCTCCCATTGCTGCTGTCTCCATCGCCACACTCTGCTGCCATGTGCCACTTTCAGGTCTCTTCACACTGCTGGTGTGTTAAATTTTTTGACATAGGGTGCAGGCAGATTACGGGCCTCACATAGCTGCTGCCAGGCCCCTAATCTGCCATGGGCCCCTATATACCGCCTCCTCATGCTGCTGCCAAGTCCAGAGTCTGTCATGGGTCCCTGTACGGCCTACGGCCCCATTGCTGCTGTCTCCATCGCCACACTCTGCTGCCATGTGCCACTTTCAGGTCTCTTCACACTGCTGGTGTGTTAAATTTTTTGACATAGGGTGCTGGCAGATTACGGGCCTCACATAGCTGCTGCCAGGCCCCTAATCTGCCATGGGCCCCTATATACCGCCTCCTCATGCTGCTGCCAAGGCCAGAGTCTCTCATGGGTCCCTGTACGGCCTCCCATTGCTGCTGTCTCCATCGCCACACTCTGCTGCCATGTGCCACTTTCAGGTCTCTTCACACTGCTGGTGTGTTAAATTTTTTGACATAGGGTGCAGGCAGATTACGGGCCTCACATAGCTGCTGCCAGGCCCCTAATCTGCCATGGGCCCCTATATACCGCCCGCCTCCTCATGCTGCTGCCAAGTCCAGAGAGTCTGTCATGGGTCCCTGTACGGCCTCCCATTGCTGCTGTCTCCATCGCCACACTCTGCTGCCATGTGCCACTTTCAGGTCTCCTCACACTGCTGGTGTGTTAAATTTTTTGACATAGGGTGCTGGCAGATTACGGGCCTCACATAGCTGCTGCCAGGCCCCTAATCTGCCATGGGCCCCTATATACCGCCTCCTCCTCATGCTGCTGCCAAGTTCCAGAGTCTGTCATGGGTCCCTGTACGGCCTCCCATTGCTGCTGTCTCCATCGCCACACTCTGCTGCCATGTGCCACTTTCAGGTCTCCTCACACTGCTGCTGTGTGTTGAATTTTTTGACATAGGGTGCTGGCAGATTACGGGCCTCTCCATAGCTGCTGCTGCCAGGCCCCTAATCTGCCATGGGCCCCTATATACCGCCTCCTCATGCTGCTGCCAAGTCCAGAGTCTGTCATGGGTCCCTGTACGGCCTCCCATTGCTGCTGTCTCCATCGCCACACTCTGCCATGTGCCACTTTCAGGTCTCCTCACACACTGCTGGTGTGTTGAAATTTTTTGACATAGGGTGCTGGCAGATTACGGGCCTCCTATAGCTGCTGCCAGGCCCCTAATCTGCCGTATGGGCCCCTATATACCGCCTCCTCATGCTGCTGCCAGGTCCAGAGTCTCTCATGGGTCCCTGTACGGCCTCCCATTGCTGCTGTCTCCATCGCCACACTCTGCCATGTGCCACTTTCAGGTCTCCTCACACTGCTGGTGTGTTCCATTTTTTTCATAGGGTGCTGGCAGATTATGGGCCTCCCATAACTGCTGCCAGGCCCCTAATCTGCCATGGGCCCCTATACCGACTCCTCATGCTGTGACGTTGCAACAAGGTGGAATTCAACCCTACATATGTTAGACCGCCTTTACGAACAGCAAAAGGCCATCACAGATTTCCTGATGTTAAAAGCAGATAAAGGTACTCCCTGTGTAACTTAGATGTCAGCCATTGGCAGCTCATGCGTGACACCTGCGCTTGCTCAGGCCCTTTGAGGAGGCCACGCTATTCGTGAGTCGGCAGGACTATGGGATGAACGACGTCATTCCTCTGTTGCACGTCCTGGAACAAATGCTGTTAACAATGGCTGGTCAGGGTGCGGTAGACGTGGCGCACAGATCTCAACGCCACATGGCCCCTGTGGGGGCAGGACTGGAAGAAGAGGAGGAGGTAGAGGAGGACATTGGTGCTCAGGAATTATTGAGTGAAATGGGTGGTTTTTTTTTCCACTCAGCGGACAGGAGGAGGAGGGAGCAGGCATCTGGTAGAGGAGGAGGAAGAGGAGACAGAGGACCTAGACGCACCGTGGCAGTATGCTGTGGAGATGGAGGCAGGGAGTCCCTCGCATTCCTTGGCACAAATGGCCCATAGCATGCTCGGTTGCTTGCGTAGCGACAGCCGAATAATAACCATCAGACAGAGGGATGACTTTTGGCTGTCCACCTTGTTGGACCCTCGCTACCGTTCAAAAATGGTGGCCTTTTTCACACCTGCTGAGAGGGAGGCCAAAATAACGTACTATAAAAAACACCTATGTAGTCAGCTGGTCTCTGCCTGTCTGCGCCAACGTCCATCCTCAGACACTGTGGGCCCTGTGCGCTCGTGTTCCGCTGCCATGGCAGCAGGGAGGGGTGGGGTGGTAGGAGCAGTGGCAGCTCCACCAGCAGCGGCTGCCTCAGTCTGCAGTCGATGATGAGTAGCTTTCTTCACCAGCGCAGTGAGGAAACTACTAACCAGCCCGCAGCAGCAGCAGCAGCATCAGGTGGACCTGGAGCAGGACCTCAAACAACAGGCTTAGGCCTACTTGGACAGCACCCTGCCAACCGAGGTAGACAATCCCCTTGACTACTGGGCAACGAAACTTGACCTTTGGCCCCAACTAGCTGAATTTGCCCTTGAAAGGCTGTCATGCCCGGCCAGTAGCGTGGCATCGGAGCGCGTGTTTAGTGCGGCAGGAGGTATTGCAACTCCGCGGAGGACACGACTGTCCACCCAAAGTGTGGAGAGACTCACGTTTGTGAAAATGAATCAGGCGTGGATTAGTCTGGATTTCAAACCACCAGTTCCTGACACAACTGACTAAATCCGCCATGAATCATGCCCCAAACATGTGCCACTTTCAGGTCTCCTCACACTGCTGGTGTGTTCCATTTTTTGTCATAGGGTGCTGGCAGATTACGGGCCTCCCATAGCTGCTGCCAGGCCCCTAATCTGCCATGGGCCCCTATACCGCCTCCTCATGCTGCTGCCAAGTCCAGAGTCTCTCATGGGTCCCTGTACGGCCTCCCATGCTGCTGCTGCCTCCATCGCCACACTCTGCCATGTGCCACTTTCAGGTCTCCTCACACTGCTGGTGTGTTCCATTTTTTGTCATAGGGTGCTGGCAGATTACGGGCCTCCCATAGCTGCTGCCAGGCCCCTAATCTGCCATGGGCCCCTATACCGCCTCCTCATGCTGCTGCCAGGTCCAGAGTCTCTCATGGGTCCCTGTACGGCCTCCCATTGCTGCTGTCTCCATCGCCACACTCTGCCATGTGCCACTTTCAGGTCTCCTCACACTGCTGGTGGGTTCCATTTTTTTGTCATAGGGTGCTGGCAGATTACGGGCCTCCCATAGCTGCTGCCAGGCCCGTAATCTGCCATGGGCCCCCGTACCGACTCCTCATGCTGCTGCCAGGCCCGTAATCTGTCATGGGCCACTGTTGTCGCTTGTTGGCATATTCCGCTCGTTCAGATGCTCCTTCTCCTGCTACTCCTCTTCACGGATTCCGTCAGCAGTCTTTCTTGGAATCCGTTTCCAAGAGACAACAGTTTGCGAGCACGCACCCGACGGTGCAGAAGCTGAACGTCCTCCTGTCCAAGTTGCTGCTGCTGCCAGGCTCGTAATCTGTCATGCGCCCCTGTACCGCCTCCTCATGCTGCTGCCCAGGTCCAGAGTGTGTCATGGGCCCCCGTACCGACTCCTCATGCTGCTGCCAGGCCCGTAATCTGTCATGGGCCCCTGTACCGCCTCCCCATGCTGCTGCCAGGTCCAGAGTGTGTCATGGGTCCCTGTACGGCCTCCCATTGCTGCTGCCAGGCCCGTAATCTGCCATGGGCCCCTGTACCGACTCCTCATGCTGCTGCCAGGCCCGTAATCTGTCATGGGCCCCTGTACCGCCTCCTCATGCCACTTTCAGGTCTCCTCACACTGCTGGTGGTTTCCATTTTTGTCATAGGGTGCTGTATGGCCTCCCATTGCTGCTGCCTCCACCGCCACACTGTGGCTCCACACTCTGGTTTTGGCCCCGTGACTGCCCAAATGAGTGAAGTGTGCGGTGATTCTAAGATCGACGGCACTCATCTGCATGTCATACTGACTGACAGTATTATTTCTCTTCCCCAGCAGACTCCAAGGGCATTTAAATTAAAGGTACAGTGTTCTGCACTAATATTAAGTCTCTCTGAAGCCTAGAAACACCCTTTTTTAAGTTAAATTCACAGCGAATTTATTCGACTCGAATCGAATATTGTCCACGAATTCGCCGAATCAGTCGAATACTCTTTGAAGCAGGGCATCAAATACAGCCGAGAGGAGACTGTAAATTCTTGGATGTGTATTGAGAAGCGCAGGTACAAATGTTCATGTCACTTGGGAGACTTTTTGAAACATTTATGGTTAAGGGCATCCAATACGGCCAACAGCAGACTGTAAAGTCTTGGATGTGTATTGAGAAGCGCATGTACAAAAGTTCATCTCACTTGAAGGACTTTTTGAAACATTTAATGGTTAAGGGCATCAAATACAGTCAACGGGAGAGAGTAAATACTTGGGTGTGTATGGAGGAGCACCAGGTACAAATGTTCATTTCACTTGAAGGACTTTTTGAAAAGTGTATGGCTAAGGGCATCCAATACAGCCAACAGGAGACTGTAAATTATTGGATGTGTATGGAGGAGTGCCAGATACAAAAATCCATTTCACTTTAAGGACTTTTTGAAACATTGATAACTTTAATGGCATCCCAGTCTTAGTCCGTAGGGTTCAATATTGGGTTGGCCCACCCTTTGCAGCTATAACAGCTTCAACTCTTCTGGGAAGGCGGTCCACAAAGTTTAGGAGGGTGTCTATGGGAAGGTTTGACCATTTTTCCAGAAGCACATTTGTCAGGTCAGGCACTGATGTTGGACAAGAAGGCCTGGATTGCAGTGCACGCTCTAATTCATCCCAAAGGTGTTCTATCAGGTTGAGGTCAGGACTCTGTGCAGGCCAGTCAAGTTCCTCCACCTCAAACTCGCTCCTCCATTTCTTTATAGGCCTTGCTTTATGCACTTGTGCGCAGTCATGTTGGAACAGGAAGGGGCCATCCCCAAACTCTTCCCACAAAGTTGGGAGCATGAAATTGGCCAAAATGTCTTGATATGCTGGTGCCTTAAGAGTTTCCTTCACTGGAACTAAGGGACCAAGCCCAACCCCTAAAAAAAAACCCACACCATAATTACCCCTCCACTAAACTTCACACTTGGTTCAATGCAAGTACCATTCTTAACCATTAAATGTTTCAAAAAGTCCTTCAAGTGAGATGGACATTTGTAACGGGCGCTTCTACATAAACATCCAAAAATTTGCAGTCCCATTGGCTGTTTTCTATGCTCTTAACTAAAAATATTTCAAATAGTCCTTCAAGTGAAATGAATTTTTGTATCTGGCACTCCTCCATACACATCCAAGAATTTACAGTCTCCTGTTGGCCGTATTGGATGCCCTTAACCATAAATGTTTCAAAAACTCCTCCAATTGACATGAACATTTGTACATGCGCTTCTCAATACACATCCAAGAATTTACAGTCTCCTCTCGGTTGTATTTGATGCCC